GTGTTGTGCTGTACTGCATAGGTAGAAGCCTCGCGATAGGCTAATCACCCGTCCAAGCAGTCTTGCCAATTCACAAACTGATTAATAATTTCAGAAGTGATTTTGAATTGGAACAAGCCAAAAGGCCTAATTCGTTAGAGTTGATGATTATTCACGGTTAATTTAACAAAGCCTTGAATTATAAGATAATTAATAAATAATAAATTGGGAGGGATGTGAAAGAAAACACTATCTTGGAATTTGAAAGTTTGAAAAAATCCATCGAACGTCAGTAAGAATTTGTCTGTTCCTGAGTTTAAATCTGAACCCGGGGCCTACGAAAAAGTTTCTAGACTTCTAACCATTCAGCAGTGAGATTCTGCGAAGTTGTGCATGTTTTAATGTTTAGATTTGTGTAATATATAAATGATGTAGCTAAACAATAACGACATGTTTGAATCCGAAGACTTGCGCATTGATAAAGCTGTGGGCTGGCACCCGACAGCATTTAGTCAGAGCAGAGCGGCGGGTTCAAGGACCGTAACTTCCTCTCGTATTAGAGCCCATTCTCACTCGTTGGTACTTGAGAGACTCTTGAGAACGGGCAATGAGAGAGACGGATTGACACAAGAGTCACTCGAAGTTCACGAACACACATCACTCTTTTCAGCTTCATTCAAACTTCACTTCCTAGCAGTGCTACAAAACAATTTACGGTACGAACTACCTACAAATGAATATAAATTAAACAAAAACGTGACTTCGTCGGAAATTTTCTTCGTTTACGAAAACAAATGAGCCGCGGCTACCGTACTTTTGTCGAAGTTATGTGTCGATTGCTTCACAATATCAAATGCTGAGGTGAAAATCGTAGTCACCAAGTGCAATATGTGTGTCTGTAGTTCTCAAGGCAGGTACCTACGTAACGGCGTGGCTCGTAAAGTAATTCAGATTTGATTTCCTTCCTCAACGATAATGTTTGTCCAGGACCTGAGGAACGTACCTGCCTGGATATCGAGAAATCTGTTTGAGAGGTGGAACAAAGTTACTGGGATAAATGTGTTTAATGTGCCTGGAAGTTTAGGTACTTTTAAGTCCAAGAGGATCCAATTTACGAATCAAAACAACACGAACTCTTATGTAAGACTTCGCTGAGTAGTCGTAACTGTTACTTTAAAACAAAATACTAAAATCAAAACGCGATGATGTATCGGTTTGCACCGGCCAGAAACGCTCCGAATAGGCCGAACAGCGGAAAATACATACATACAAAAACATTAAGTTACTGCCTTAGGCCTACACACAGAACATGGCGCAAACAGTGAAAACGACAGATCGGAGTGTTAAAAATAAAAGACAATAAAAGAATACGAATTTATTGCATCTGTTAAGAGGCTGTTACAGAATACCGCCAAGAGCTCCAGACGAGGATCGATGCCAAGAACAACAGGTTGGCCAAAGAGGCTCACTAACAGACGGTCAGTAAGAACGTGACTGTCTACTGGTATTTTACGCCGTGTAGTAAAAATTTACCTACGTTTCAGAGGCCTCCATCATCAGAGCGATCGATCTGACACGTCGATAAATTTCTACCAGACCACAATGCACAACACCCCAGAAAACAGTTATGTTTATGTATGATTTGAGGTTTTCACAGCGGTGAGTATGAAGATTTCTGTCTTCTGGGTTGTTGCGCTGTGTAGTATGGTAGACGTTTAACGTGGAATCTCGCCAAGTGACAAGTCACGTAGCGACAGAAAATGAATCCACTCCTGTTTCATTTACAAGATCAA